AAACATGCCTAAAAGGAGGACTCTGTGTCTGGTGTGAGAGATTCACACTGCAGATAATGCTTTTACACAGCGAGCGTCAGATACACTGCGGTTCACCCCTTAAACTACTACGATAGCATAGAGAAACCCAGCCGTCTAGCTGGTGTCTGAATACTGTGATCTGCTCTGACATGGATGTGGTAGGAGTGACAGCAGTGACCTCCCGAACCGAGTTGACGTTGTTGAGAAACTAAAGAGTTTAGCTCTGTTGTTGGCCACTTGTTTAGCATTTGTAGCGGGGTAGCCGAGCGCTCGACACCAGACAGATAAAATAATCTGTTTTCTTTCTTAAATCATGACTATTACAAAAACTGCAGCTGTGCTTTTCAAGCTGATAAAAACAGCTCAGAAACTTTCTCCCACTGTCCCAAGACAGATTAGTGAAATGTTCCACTGTTTGCCGAGTGTTTGTCATGATCGGACCATAAGTGATAGTTTAAAACCACAGTTAACCACCCAGGAGCAAAATCAGCCTTCAAACGTGAAAGAAATCATGATTTGACATTATCGCGGTATGTATCGATATCGAACAATATGAATTTTGTTTATCGTGATAACGTTTTTGGCCGTATCGCCCAGCTGTAGTTTTGCATTGTTAATTTTGAGAAGTTGATCAGACTCTGGGAGTACCGGGCAGCTTCCAGAATGACAAAGAGGGGCACAGGTTGTGCGGAGCATAGTGATGACCCCAATTTATGCTACCTTATATTCAAAGCAGTGACTGGAAAATCTTGACATGCCCAGGTGCTCCTCTTTGTGAATCCTCAGGGGGACGTTCCAGTCAAAGAACCTGATTTTAGCTGGTGGCTATGAATGAATCTCATGCTAAACCTCTTTCAGGCCCTGCTACAACTGCAGCCACTCACTCCAAGCACAGCGAGATGCTGTAACTGCATCGATTTGCTACCGCAGCATGTCCATAATGTCTTATACCGATTCTCTTTCTGCGCAGGGGGTAAAGCGGGTGAAATATTCAGCCTAGGCAGCGGCCGCGGCCAGTGTAAGCGGCGTTAGCGACAAAACACACCTAATGGCCTCAAAACGGAAAACTCAGCGGCTAATGGAAGTGTCGAGAATGGTTTTTCTGTGTTGATAGCGTGAGGGATGCACCAGGGCCGTTGTTTTTGCTTCACTTCAGCCTGGAAAAAGAAGCTTTTCTGTGAACTTGCAGCTCCTGGAGGTTTGAATTATGAATCGTGCATGAAAGCAGGAGAGCACTTTTTGGGTTGGTCTGAGGGGAATCTATAAAAGACACGTGGTGTTTTTTGACCCACTTCATGACGAACATTAAAGGTGGATGGCTCATGTAATGGACACTCAAAAGCTGTACCTGTGCGAGAGTTTCTTTTTCTGAGGATTAAAAAAAAGAAATAACATGCCTGATGTGAGTGCTGCCTTTGAAGGCTTCGCTAATCCACCTACACATCCTGGGTGAAGAAAAAAAAAGATTAAAGATGAAAGAATACTCCACCGAAAAATCCTCCCTCACACCGCTGTGAGTTTCTCATCACGGCCAGACATAAAACTAATATTAATAATGTGAAAATAAAAGTAATTATAGGCTAGGCTAACACCATTAATATAATAGCAGTACCTGCCTTTGTAACAGGGCCTAATTTAGTCCAACAAGCAGTCTGACGCCAAACGAGTCTGGAGGATGTGCCTAGCCATTAAATCTCCGTAATTTAGCAGCACTAATTATGCCGAGAAACCAAAGTTATTGCCACAAGTGGTTGAGAATACTCCGGCGCTGTCGTGACCTTGGATGTGTGGCCCGGTGATTCAGCCTGACTAATTATAGCTTGTGTTACATCGCGCTGGTGTTTTGCATGTCTGTCACGTCAGGACCAGATTAATATCACTGATCTCTTCAGCCAGAAGTTGAAGTGATAAGCATGTAAGCCACATGTTGTTGTTGTTGTTGTTGTTGTTGTTGTCCCCCGAGCCAAACAGCTGCTTACCTTGAAGCGACAGTTTAGCCCAAAATCACATTAACACAGTTTCCCCCTCTTACCGCACATCGAGTCAATCAGCTGAGACATGTTCGGTGTCCAGTCTTTGCTTCTGTCCATAAAAATGTAAGGCTCCAATATGGATGCTACTGCTGTGGTTCAAAAATTGATGGTTCTTCAAGAGTCGTTTAGTAGGAAATAGGTCTGTATACAGTCAAAGACCCCCTTTTCACAAAGGTGAAATTGTTCTTCAGATTGATGGAGAACATGCTGTAGATGGTTCTACATAGGTCCTTTTTGAAAAGGGTGCTATATAGCACCCAAAAAGGGTTCTTCTATTGTTATGATGTCAAGCTTGTAACAGTAGAACGCTTTTTGGTGCTGTATAGAACTGTGGCATGCGCCTGTCCCCTGGGCCCTGATGACGGCCACGAGAGCTGGAAGAAAGGCGGCCCCCGACGAAACCCCACAAATCGGAGCCTTGTCTCCCCGTCACCGCCCCCGCTCTGCAGCTCGTCCGCCTGGATCGAACGTGAGGCACATTAATGTGGCCTCACAGCAGAACTAGAGGCGGTGCCCAGGAGGCGGTGCTCAGGATTCGTGCACCGTCCCCCACTCCTTCATGGATTTCATCCCCTCCCTGCTGTCTTTGCGGGGATTCACCTGGGCTCGGAGTTCGGGCCCAGCCTTCCTGCCAGCTCTCACGGCCGTCATTGGGTCCCAGTGGATGGGCACATGCCACAAGAACCCTTTTTAATAGGGCCTATATAGAACCATCTACAGCACATTCTTTATCAATCTGAAGAACTATTTCACCATGCAAAGAACCTTCTAATGTGGTGGTGGTGTGTTAGTGTGTGTTGTGCTGGTGCGAGTGGATCAGACACAGCAGCGCTGCTGGAGTTTTAAACACTGTGTCCACTCACTGTCCACTACCTTGTTGGTCCACCTTGTAGATGTAAAATCAGAGACGACAGCTCTTCTACTGCTGCACAGTTTGTGTCGGTCATCCTCTAGTCCTTCATCAGTGGTCACAGGACGCTGCCCACAGGACGCTGATGGCTGGATATTTTTGGTTGGTGGACTATTCTCAGTCCAGCAGTGACACTGAGGTGTTTAAAAACTCCAGCAGCACTGCTGTGTCTGATCCACTCAGACCAGTGCAACACACACTAACACACCACCACCACGTCAGTGTTACTGCTGTGTTGAGAATGATCCACCACCCAAATAATACCTATTCTGTGGGGGTCCATGGGGGTCCTGACCACTGAAGAACAGGGTAAAAGGGGGCTAACAAAGTATGCAGAGAAGCAGATGAACTACAGAGTGAAACTATACGGTCAGTGGAGCTGATAAAGTGGACAGTGAGTGTAGAAACAATGAGGTGTTGCTAATAAAGTGCTTGTTATTCCAGTTGCACTCTGTGGGTATTAGTGTATAATTGACTGGATCAGTTTGATTCCTCGTTCCAAGGTGTCCCATGAGAACTTTCTTAGCTTTAGTATGAAGAATCACAATCACAGTATATCACAGTATATCGCCCTGCTTACAGAATCATAATATATCGCAATATATTGAATCATAACCCCTTTATCATGATTGCATCACCAGGTTCTTGCCAATACACAGCCCTACTATTGATCACTTCTACATTTATGACATTTATGAATGCTTAGATCAGCAACTGCCAGACGTGGATGTAAACATCATATATGTATGTACGTGAAGTTACGAAAGTGTTGTATGTTTTATGAAGTCCTTAAAGTCATCGTGCATGAAAAATCAATGCATTTTCCTTCCATATCGTGACCTATTTGTGAGTGAAACACAGTATCAGGTGGCTTTTCCTTTTTCTCTAAATGATAAATAGGGTGGCGAAGAGGGAAGGTAAACAAGATATCACTGATTTTTTTTTTTTTCCCAACATGGTAAAAGTCATTACGTTTTGATGAAAGATTATAAGAACTGTGTCTTTTACAAGATATGATGATATTATGCTTAGCATGAAGAGGGTTGAGCTGAAGTGTCTAGACATTTTTACCCACCATCATGCCTACTTTCATGTGATGTTTTACCCTCAAGCAACATTCATCTATAATATGGCACAGTTCATTTGCTGCTCTAATGGATAGTTCGATATGTCTGTACAGGGTGGGCACTGATCCGGTTGAAATGACAATACTGATATTTCAGTTTTTAGTCATTTTTATATACTGTTAGCAATGATAGATCAAATTAAGCACATTCACCAGCCAACAGCTTGGATCTATCTGCAAATGGTCCCACACCACTGACTGTTATAAAAGCTCTGTGCACAGTAACAAGTATATCCAGTCGTGTGGAACATGTTCATTGACAGTTTGAATCTAAATGAAAGGTAACGCAGGGGAAATGTTTACCGCGCATGCCTTCGCATTTAATGACGGGATCATCATTAAGTGTGAAATTTCGGCAAGGTTAATGGAGGAGTGATGTACTACTCCCATGGGGCTGTTTAAGAAAAACACAGCAGCTTGTTGTCGAGTGTAGGTCATGAGGATTTGCCAGCTCATTCCTTCCTGCCTCTGGCCACGGATGCTCCTGCAAACCTTGTTTCAGCACTCTGCTCATGTCCCTGGTGAAATTTATAAAAGGGGACAGATGTTTCAGGCAGGATTTGCAAGCCGGTGACAGTGGCTTTGAATTTAATCCATGGAAAACAGAGCCCCTTCAGTTGGATAGGCTGCATAAACCACTTTCTCATGTTGACAGGAGACTCAACTCTTTTGACTTCAGTGCTGAAGTAATGTAAAAGTTACAGGCTTTTTCATGCATCTGTCTGTTCTTGAAAAAGGACAAAAAGAATGCACAGCCAGAGTGAGAACCAATGAAGTGACGTTTAATTATCATGTTGTCCCTGGTTGTCATTAAAGCAATATTGCACTAATTCCACTAATCTCCCTTTGCAATCTTTCCAAAGTGTTTTCATCTTAATGACTGTCTAATCTGATCGTGGCTTCTCTCCAGGGACGCAGTCGGACCCGTGTCCTATAAAACGAGGCTAATCAGGGTTTTCCCTGTGCTTCTGTTTGTGCAGCCTGAGATGGATAGCAGCCAATGACTGGAGCAATGGAAGAGTAACGTGAGCAAAGCTAGCAACAACATGGCTGCCCATCGGATACGAGTGACCAACAACAACAATGCCCTTCCACGCTGTAAGTCGGAGGGCACGTTGATTGACCTCAGTGAGGGCGTGTCTGAGGCCAGTCTTACAGATGTCAAAGGTCAGTTTATATAATGTAACACCTGCATGACATGCAATAAAATGGTAAGAGTTGTGGCAAATATGTCATTTTAATAAATTTCTCACTTTCATTTTTACAGTGCCTTCTCCCAGTGCCTTGCGTTTGGACAGCTCTGCGTCCTTTGGGACTGCACAGGAAGTAGTGGCCATTAAGGATTATTGCCCATCTAGCTTTACCACACTGAAGTTCTCCAAAGGTGACCACCTCTATGTGCTGGACACGTCAGGAGGGGAGTGGTGGTATGCCCACAACAATACAGAAATGGGATACATTCCCTCTGCGTACGTCCAGCCAGTCAACTATAGGAACTCGTATCTCAGTGACAGTGGGATGATTGACAATCTTGGGGACTGCTCAGATGAAGGGGTGAAGGAGTTGGACCTTTTAGGGGAGTGGACTGGAGTGACCCTGAAGCCCCCTTTGCCTTACAATAACAACAACAACCCCTTTTCCATGCATTCTTCAACAAATCCATTCCTGAACGGCTCAGTGCAGGGGACTCTTGACCAGAACAGCAATGAGAAGGCCAACCAAAACAATAGCATCGATCTACTTCTCTTTGAGTCTCTAACTCCATCTGCTGCCATCTCCACCACCACCAGCAATGGCACCACAAATTTTTACGGCAACAGTATTTTTGATGGCATGCCCACCAGCCCAAATGTCGAACCCTTGCAGATGCTTCGCAAGGACAACCCATTTTTCCGGAGCAAAAGATCCTACAGCTTGTCAGAGTTGTCGATCCTACAGTCTCAGTCCAGTCCTCCATTGCCTTCATCAGGGTTCTTCACAGGGCTTAAGGCACCTTCTCCAGAGCAGTTTCAGAGCAGAGAGGACTTCAGGACAGCCTGGCTAAACCACCGGAAGTTGGCCCGGTCATGTCATGACCTTGACTCCTTGGGGCAAAACCCAGGCTGGGGTCAAACGCAGCCGGTGGAGACCAACATTGTCTGCAAGTTGGACAGCTGTGGAGGGGCAGTCCAACTGCCAGACACTAGTATCAGTATTCACGTACCTGAGGGTCATGTCGCAGTGGGCGACACCCAGCAGATATCTATGAAGGCTTTACTGGATCCACCGCTGGAATTGAACAACGACAGATGTACCACAGTCAGCCCAGTTGTTGAGATCAAATTGAGCAACATGGAGATAAAATCATTCATAACCTTGGAGATGAAGGTCTCTGTAGAAGTAAAGAATGAGAGTAGACAAATGGCAAAGGTGCTATGTGTGAGGAGTGACTGCAAAGAGGGTCCATACATCCCCGTCCCACAGGCTTACATATATGGGGACACAGTTCAGGTCCAGTTGGATAGTCTGGAACCTTGCATGTATGTGGCTGTTGTCGTCCAGTCCAACCACATTTTGTTTAATTCAACAGTTTGGGATCATGTGGTGAAGAAAGTCACTCTGGGCTTATATGGACCCAAGCATATTCATCCATCCTTTAAGACTGTGGTGGCCATCTTTGGACATGATTGCGCTCCAAAGACTTTGCTTGTCAGTGAGGTTGGCAAGCAGGCTCAGTCTGCTCCCCCAGTAGCGCTACAGCTTTGGGGGAAGCACCAGTTTGTCCTTGGTAGGCCGCAGGACCTACTGATTGGCATGTACTCCAATATGTCTAATTACGAGGTGAAGGCAAGCGAACAGGCTAGGGTAGTAAGAGGATTCCAGATAAAACTTGGCAAGGTGAGTCGGCTCATATACATGATCACGTCTCGGAATGCGGAGGAGTTGTCTGACTTCACCCTACGGGTACAGGTGAAGGACGATCAGGACTGCATCCTTGCCCAGTTCTGCGTTCAGACACCACAACCGCCTCCTAAAACTGGAATGCGAGCCAACGGCCAGCGGAGGTTCTTAAAAAAGAAGGAAGTAGGCAAAATAATTTTGTCACCTCTGGCCATAACCACCAAATACCCGCAGTTCCAGGAGCGTTGCATCACAAACTTGAAATTCGGCAAATTGATCAAGACAGTCATCAGACAGACGAAGAACCAGTACTTGCTGGAATATAAGAAGGGGGACGTGATTGCCTTGCTAAGCGAGGAGAAGATCAAACTGAAAGGACAACTGTGGACCAAAGAGTGGTATATCGGCTACTATCAGGGAAAGACTGGGCTTGTGCATGTGAAAAATGTGCTGATCTTGGGTAAGGTCAAGCCTATATACTTCTGCGGGCCAGACCTCACTACCACAATGCTGCTGGAACAAATTCTAAAGCCCTGCAAGTTTCTCACATACATTTATGCCTCCGTGAGGACTGTACTGATGGAGAATGTGGGAAACTGGAGGGCGTTTGCTGATGCCCTGGGTTATGGAAACCTGCCCTTGACTTACTTCTGCAGGGCAGAGTTGGATAGTGAACCAGAGAGAGTGGCTTCCGTGCTGGAGAAACTCAAAGAGGATTGCAACAACATGGAAATCAAGGAGAAAAAATCATTTCAGAAGGAGCTAATGACGGTAAGTTGTAAATATTCAGGATGTGTTGCTCTGTTTATGTGTGTGCATGTGATTGTGGAGAGGATTGATGTGCGTGCATTTGAATGTGATTATCCTTGATTACATTAACCGTGTGCATGTTTTGCTCCATGCAAATCATGCCGTGTGTCTCTGGATGCACAGCCTTGTAGGCCCCTTATCTGCCTTGCACTGATTAGTGCTGAGGGCTAGCAGGCTAATTCTGATGAGAGTGCACTTGGCCACTCTGGTCCAATTCTCTTATCTACACAACTGCGGAAACCTGCAAGTACAGCAGCAGCAGCCTTGCTTGGCTGGCTGAGACTGTATTGCTGAAAGAAAAAAAAAACTATAATCAGCTCTGCACATGTTGTTGCTGTCAACAAGCACTGTACATTTGGGGTTACTAGAACGCTAACCCTACTGTTTTAATCCGGAGGAAAACTGCAGAAAAATGCAGGTGAAAAAACTACATAATCATCACTGCAGCAGCGCTGACAGCCAAAAAAACAAAGCAGCTCTGGAAAAAACTTCAAGCTAATCTCAGTACAGCACAAAAGAAACGGAGTCTTGGCTAACTGTAACCTACAGAATGTTTCTCATGCATACACAAGAGCTGTTGAATGGCACCCCATTCATAAGTAAGCATGTTGCGAGATCTAGTTCTGTCAGTTGTGTCTAGTGAAGACTCCTTGAAAATGAAGAGGCGCCACGTGGGAATGAAACATGCTACAACCTTCACTCACTCTCCGAGAGCAGCTGTTCAATGCTTTGTTGTTAGGTTGCCTTTTCTGCTAAACATGGCATACATAAGAAAGTGCAGGTTGGGCACCCTATACTAGGACCTCGTCGGGCATTTGTACTAGGACCCGTATTGTGGGAGCACCTTTTCCCTTACACCGCTACGCATGCAACGTTTGCACCCATAACTATGCAAAATATCAACTGTGCTTCATTTATTAGTTATGAATTTGCCCCATCAGCTTCTAAATAAACATCTTAAAAGGAATAGATTGGCTAAGAGTGTAGATGTAGTCAGTCAGCACACGTTTGGTGTCCAAATTTGGCTTTTTTAATTTAGTGCTGGAGCTAGAAGGCTAACAAACACTAGAAGTCAATAGTCACCCAAATCCTTTCTGTAAATACATCCTCAAAACTGCTCTCAAACTACATCCAGCTCTTCGTTAAGGTTGCGCCGGCTTATCAATATGGTTCAAGACACAGTGTGACTTGCTGTAAGCTATAAAACCTTTTCATATAGCGGGCAGGTTTGGGCAGCTATTTTAGACAACAGGTTTTGTTCATTTTCATGGTTCACAGAAAGTCAGATTCTGTTCTAAACCACATTGACAAGCTTGTGTGAACTTAATGAAGAGCTAAGCATGTTGAGAGTAGTTTTCAGGATGCGTTTACCAAAAAGATCCAGGTGAATATTGACTTCTAGTGTTTGTTAGCTCTGCAGCTGTAGAACTAAACTAAAGAAGCAAGCTTTGTCTTGGCTGATTGACTACATCTGGGGGAAGAGGAGAATTGTGTGTCAGTTTGATTTTTTTTGTGAAACCATTCCTTTAATAAAAGCCTCCAGCGGATTCATGTATTGCAATATGTGCAATAAGTGAGATGTGCAATATTTCATGTTTGAAATATAATCGTTCGGGATCATTGTTTTTCAAAGTGCAGGGAATTTCTACAAAACCTGAATGAATCATTAATTTCCATATGCTATATTTGAAGCTACAGCATGTGTTCGAAATATCTTCACAACTTAAAATCCATCTTGTAGGCCCCGTTGACCCTAGATTCCTTCAAATATGGCTAATCCTATTTTCTTCAAGCTTTTCCCTGCAGTTGAAGCAGGACGAGACTCCATGAGTCCATGTTCGAGCATAAACAGAAGTGACGTGAGATGTGCTACATGAGGGAGTTCCTCTGAAGTTGCAGTTGGGATGTCTGTCTCTCTGGATGCATTCAGCTTGAGGAGCGAAAGCGATAGGCCTGCTGGTTTTCCGGTTTTTCGGAGTTGCTGGCGGGCGGAAACAGAAAGTAGCTCTTTGAACCGAAGCCTGCTGGGATCATGTGTCTGTGGAAAGTGAACATGAGATACTTTCTTAAGCTTTTTTTATGGCCTTCCCCATTGTTGATTCTATTAGAGCTGCGACTTCAAATGCAGCATCAGCATGGGTAGAATTTTTTATTTGGTTGCTGAGGGCGGTATTCTCTGTCGCAAGGCATAATTAACCCCATCGCTCTGCCATACCTGCTTGTTCATGAAGCTTTTTCCTGTCTGTCACTGGGAGCTATCACTCTGTGTTTTCGTCAAGCTTTCTTCTTTGCTGCTGGCTGGTTTTACACTTCAGTACATCAGTACCTCCTTAAGGAATCAAGAGGAACCTTATTTTATCTTTTTTGTATGTGGCAGTAATATATTAAAAGAAAACTGTCCCAGTCAGTTGACTTGAGTGGGTGGTCTGCCGGAGATTTGGGGAAGCAACATAGCGTTAATTATTCGTCTGTCTGCGAGAAGTCATCTGATAGTCTGTGTGAGGAGGGAACTTCATCATTTTTGGGCCTGTCTTGTTTTTAAAGCTGACACATTTATCAAACAGGGACGAAGCAATTATTCTTCTGTCCTTTGCAAACGGATGGACGCTGGTCTTTTGTGATAGTAAATTGATTTTTAAAATACCGCCTGTATTCTGTGACTCACACGCGTTAGTCTTCGTCCTTTGTTCATTGTGTCGTTGTTTAGCTATTTGTGTGCAAGCGCTTTTTGCTATATTATGTGTGGTCTGCGTGCCTGCTGACATTTCGGAGATGCGAAAACAATGAGGCAGGGTATTTTTCGGAGTGCGCTTAGCCTCGCAAGCTGCTATTAACCTAAGCAAATGTGCTGCATCATTTAGAGCTATCTGCAGTCTGCAGGCAGGCAGTTAGCAACCATGCTAGGGTGTTCCTTAAAGAGGCAGTATGCAATTCTGGAGAATGATTGTTTCTATTTGAACTCAATAGCAAAACAAGTACACCCCTCCGTTTAGTGCTCCTTCAGAAGCTCCACCCCCCAAATTCATGGACACGCATTGCCAAGGCAAATAATACTGGGGCTAGCAAACTTTGAGGCCATAAAACCCTCGAACATTATACGGACAAATACTATGACATAACGTTAGAGCGAACAGCCACGCAGCAAGTAATGTAGCTAATGTTAGCTAGGCTGTGGGTTAGCAAACTGTCACTATAATTGCTGTCAAGCTAACCAGTTGCACAAAAACATTAGCAATCGGGACAAATCAGTTGGTTCTTTGAAGCAGCAAAAATGTTAATTTTGCCCATCTGTCAAGCAGAAACAGATCAGCCTCCTCATCCGTTTTCATGCCTTTCAACTCTCGATGATATGGTCAGCATTTTTTGCCAACTTGTTCATAGTTTACAGATCCACCTTAAATGGTGCAGCAGTTACATTTCGGCACCTCAGCTTCTTGTTTCGAATTTTCGTGTTCCACCTTAAATAGTGCAGCAGTTACATTCCGGTGTCTCAGCCTCTTGTTTGAATTCTCGCGTTCCACCTTAAATGGTGCAGCAGTTATGTTCCAGTGCCTCAGCCTCTTATTCAAATTTTCCCATTCCATCTTAAACGGTGCAGCAGTTACATTCCCGTGCCTCAGCCTCTTATTTGAATTCTCCTCTTCCACCTTAAATGGCGCAGCAGTTGAATTCTGTTGCCTCAGCTTCTTGTTCAAATGTTTCCATTCCATCTTAAATGGTGCAGCATTTCTCGGTGTTTTTTCTTCAGATCTTCTCCTCTTTGGCTGTTTCTCAGCCATCTCTCCTTCTTACCCGTGAAGAACCATCTTTGAAAGAGTGCATTTATAGAAAAATTGACATAAATGACTCGGCAGTATTTATTTATTTTACATATATTTTGGTTTAACATTTATGCAAGGTAGTTTCAATTGAAAACTTACCATTTTGTAAATCAGTACCTTCTTTTAATGTATTTTGAAGACATCACAGGTAAATATGAATAAAACTGCCAATTTGACCAGGAAATGACCAGGAAATTAGCTCATTTAGCAACAATTTGTATGTGAAAATGTGTTATGATGCTAATATATTCTCCATGTTTTATGCCAAAATGTAAACACATATCTAAAAGTTCACTACTGGGACCTAAAAGTGGCTGGAGTTGCAGATTCACTGTGTTTTTCATGCGTGTATTTGCCGTGCTAGTGTCGTAAAGCAGATGTAAATCATTGTAAGTGCTCACATTACATAGGGAAAATGTGTTAGCATTGGGAAAGCTAGCACTGCTGGACAGCTTGAGGAGAAGAAACCAAGCGTGAGACGCTTCCATCATGAAGCCGTAATGCAGGTACGAAGCTTTCAAGCTTGCAAAGTAAACAGGTTCAAGTGAGGTTGACTAGCGCATTTGCCTCCACTGTTTTGGGTTAAAATATTTATGTCGTTCAGGAGTTTAGCAGCAGTCAACAACGAACCGCACGCACTTTCGCTGTGTGTGTTTGGATGGCCTGTTGGTCAGACAGACTGTTTGCTAGCCCTCCAGAAGGCTAAGTACCCTGCAGGGCATGTTTGGATAGTTTATTTGTCATGCTGTGTGGTTTGCTTGCCTGAAACAGTCTGAAGTGCAGATTTAAGCTTTTAGTTCCCTCACAATCAGTTTCCCAAAGACAGCGCGGTCGGGGTCGACCTCATTCAGATCAGGTCAGTCTGGATCGCTCTACCAGCGCTTTTTATCTACATGCTTGACTGGACACTGCTGTATTGTGTGAATCCTCATTTTTGATTTTGAGGAAGATTCAGTGTTGAGGATAAAATCTTCCACAGCTTTTTCAAACAAGTCTGTATACATAAGAGTGGTTTGGTGTGAAATGGTTCAGATGTCTTTACAGTGGTGGTGATAGGAACCAGGGGTCGCCATGACTACAACACAAATATAGACATTTTATTTACTATCCAGAACCACCAGTGAACCTACACGAGTCTTC